AAAATCATATCTGGTAAATATGAATTAAAATGTTTGTTTTCTTGAATTTCAAACACGTCTTACCAATCAGAACGTTCTGGGGTTTGAGATCTCGATGAAGAATTTTTGAATTTGGAGAGTGAAGCACCTTTAGGCTTTCTAGAAATTCTTCGACGAGTTTCCTTAAAACCTTATCTTTCTTATCATTGTTACAGACATTCCTGATATATTCTTCCAAAGTGCATTCACAAAGTTGCAGACAAAGATATCCAAAGTTCTCGTCCTCCTGAAAATCAACATAACGTACGATATAAGGATGATCGAGTTCAGGGAGACGTAGGATTACTACTTCTTTCTTTAGGACCTGGTATTTGCTTTTAGACATTCTCTTAATGGCAACTTCTGTGCCGTCCTCTCTCAGCCCCAAGAAGACTTCAGTACCATCGCTTCCATTCGCAATTCTGAATTCTTCATCATTCACATAAATAATGCTTCTGATTCTGGATATTTTACTGTCATCTGAGTCAACAAGCGTCTCCAGTTTGTCCTTCCACCTCTTGCTGATTGAAAGCCAGTTTCGTTTTTCTGATTTTTCAATGATGCTGTATTCAAAAGGCTTTACATTTGAAGTTGACTCCACAACAGAAACTTTTGTTGTTGGATCAGTTGCTGCAGTGGAAACGTCAGCATTTGGGTCTTCTTGCTTTTGGGTCTTTTCCTTCTTTTTCTTCTTCTTTTTCTTCTTCCTGCCTGATGTTGAGGCTGTGTTTCCCTCACATTCTGAGTTTGGTTTGCTCAGATATTCTTTCAGACTTCTCAGCACCTCTTTCAGCTTGTCATTCATTTCCATTTCTACAGATGTCAGTATGTCCTCAGGTACTGAGGTTATCCCCACTGATTTTAAAATATTTGCTTTCTGTTCAACTGACAGGTTTGCGAGTATACCGTACGTGTAGATCCTGATCTTAGTGGAGTGTTGCTCATTTACAAAAGGGGCAACTGTTCTGAATAAGTTTTCTAAAAAGTTGACGTGCCAGTCCTTTGTGCCTTTTGTTTTCTGTGTTATCACATACAGTGTTTGTAGCACTGATTCA